TGGATGCTCACAGACAGAGTAAGTCTACTGCACCTATTAAATGCTGCTCAACCCCCAGGACTAGATCAAATGATCAAACTTCCATTTGAATTTAATAGATAGTACAATATGAGAAATAGACTGTGATTACATAAGTATACATAAAGAATCAGAATTAAGGTGGAGCACTGAGCTTTAATTGATAGTTCTTGACATTGGAGTGCTCCATTTTACAATCTTCACACAGTATCAGTATTTTAAATTTAATTTTCTAAATTTGGTGGACTTGTTTGTTTGTGGAGGTACTACAGGGTAAAAAGCAAAGGGCACTTCAGTCTCCAAGGTTTCCAAGCTCCTTGGGTCTGAAAAAAATTGCAAATGGAAGTTGTAATATCTCTATATATAATTTTGAACTAATTGGCTTCAGTGCCATTGTCCTTTAACAAAGATCATTAGAACCCCGTTGCTTTTGACAGAGGGTTGTGGATAATCAGAGAAAACATACACCTCCGTCTTGTTTTGGTAAATACCTAATAAAGTTACTTAGCCTCACTGTGCCTCAGTTAGCCCACTTGTAAAATAAGGATTAATATTATTAATCAGGTTTATTATGGTAGTTCCTAGAAACCAACCAAGAATGGGCCCTGCTGTGCTAGGCACCGTACAAACAGAGTAGTAATCAATCTCTTACCCAAAGAGCTTATACCAAAGGAATATTTACTAACATCACAGATATGGTAGGAGATCTCACTAAATTACGGTTGTAAAGTTTAAAACCTTCCTAAGGTCACTGGTTGGAAGAAGAATAATTCTATTCTAGTCTATCTTGTATACATTCTTATACCATACATAATGCACTGCTGGAAGAATTCAGATATTTGAATACCTTCCAGCAGTGCATTACGAGTATGTCTACACTACAATCAGGAAGTGTGATTACAGCATACGTAGACATACCAAAGCTAGCTTTGATCTAGGTTGCTTGAGTACCAATATCAGGGAAGCCACAGCAGCACAGGTGCCAGCTGCTTGAGGGTCCTAGGTGGGCAAGGCTAGCCAGTACTGCAGCAACTTCACTACTAGTGTTACTCAAGCTAGCTTTGACCTACTACAGACCATCTACACTTCAAACTTCCAGCTCAGGCAGACTAGCTTTGATTGGACTAGCATGCTAAAAATAGAAGTGTACCTGCAGCAGCGCAGGTGGTAGGGTGGGGTAGCTGCCCAACTAAGTACTTAGGGTCCTGGGCAGGATTGTACTTGGGATATCAAGCCTGTCCCACTGCTTGTACCTCCTGGGCTATACTTCTAATTTTAGCATGCTCACTATAGGGCATTTGGTAGCCACAGCTTTATGAAATGCTGGCTTTTCCAAAACATTTGCTTTGATTGTTTGCCAGGTTTGGACCAAAGCATGACATCCAACATTCCACTATACTGTTATATCACCACATCTGCATATGCACTGCATCTGAAGTTAAAACCAGACTTTTCATATTGCATGTCCATCAGGATACATTTTCAAATGTTCTCAATTTTTTTTAATATGTCCAGATTTTTCAAACTGTAGCAAAGGTTCAGCCACTTTTAGTTTTCCTTTAAATGTGAGAATATTTCTTCTACCAGAGTATTTTCCCCATTCTTCCATAACTCAAAAACGGCTGAATACATTTTCCCTGTGAGTTAACACACAAGTACCTTTGCGCAGAGACCAAATATAGAAAATTCCGCCAAATAGGTGAATGTTTTGGAAATCTGAGCATATGAAAACAGAAGGAAACTGTTTATCAGTCGTATTGTTCAAGTGAATTGTGTGCTTAGCACAATGATGTCTTGGTCCCTGACTGGGGCCTTTGCTAGCTACCATGTACAAATAATAAAAGAATAGCATGCACAATCAAGCAAACCCTATCATATCTTCAAGAACAAGTTGTTCAAACATTTAAGTTGATATTTTGATGTGCCCAAAGTTTGTTTCCTGTATAGTCAATACAAACAAGGATCCAGTTTTCAAAACACATCCAAAAGGTTGATTCTCAGCTGCTGGAATCTTATGTGACCAAAATTATAAGTACAGACAACAGAAAATTATTGTGATGCTTGAAAAAAATCAGAGCTATTTTACAACTAAACATCAATGATTAGAGTTAGTTACACATGTTTTTGTTGGTTTGCATAACTTTTACATTATCTATCCAAGTAAAGCCTATCAGCACCTACTGCTGGACAGAAATATTGATACAAACATAAAACTCTCCTTTATGATAGATTCAGAGCAAATGTGTTTCTGTAATCAACTTGTAAAGCTAAAATTTACAAAAATGAGAATCTTCCTATCCGAATTAGCAATTATAGTTTATCCGCTTAAATTCACAGTTATGTCACAAGAGCATAGAAAAAGAGCTAGTTTTTATTATTCTTACAAAGTTGTTATGTAATAACAGGGAGCAGGGGTAGTGGAGGACACTGGGGATACAGAACTGGCAGTCTGTGGACTCCTGCTGATCCCCTGGAATCTGTGCAGACAAGACTCCAGCCTCTTCTACCACTGAAAAAAGAGCAGTATCAGCCTACCTCCCAATGGAACAATTCTAAACCGAACCCGGTCAGATACACGCACAACATACATGAGCTAATATTGACACAAGATGGTAGGAACTGTAATATCCTCTGAATAGACACAATTCCATCATAATTACTTTCCTGTACCTCTGGAGGAGCGATAAGCAGATGGTAGGAGAGGTTAAATCACTATGTGGCTTCAAAGAGGTCCGTACTATTTTTGTTGCTGAGTATTTTTCATTGAAATGGAATGAGCTGTCCATTTTTAATATTATTGGGGGAATTAATTATGTAAGGATGCCTAAAGAATGAGATTGGTAATTAATCAAAAAGAGATACATAAAATAACTAAACAAATAATGATCATCAATATTTATGTAAAGATTAAGAAAGAAACAAAGTGCAACAGTTCCCCCTATTGGCTCCACAAAAACCAGGTTACTAACAAATACTGTTCCCAGAGTGGCACTCACATTTTATTATATTACATTACTGGTACATAAGCAAGAAAAAATATATATACAAAAGAAAAGATTAATTTCAACTGCATAAGAAAATAATCAAATTTTTCCAAATGGTAGAGGACAAAGTGTTATTTTCAACCTTGAGGAAATGCTACAGACAGTGAAGAGTAAAAATAATATTGAATAAACCACTGAGTGTTCTTAGGTTTACTTTTAGCTACTCAAAATAAAGAAGGAAATGCAAAAATGACATTAAAGAAAGGTAAAGAGTTCACATAGCATTTCAATTAAGTTCTAAATTAGGGCTGCTATTTCTGGGCCTGTTACCTATGATGATGTGAATGATTCTGGCACAAGGCAAGTATCCATTCCCTCCCAGCTGGTGTTGTAAACACTGCCCCTGACCATTCCTAAGGTTCTCCTGCAAACAAGCATCCCTTCCTTATCTAGATTGAATTACAGCCAGGTCACTTCCACCAAGATTTTAATTCAGTGAAGCAGACTCTGGCAGTAAGACTATAGAAAGGTGGAGTTAATGAAGAGAGAACATTAATAACGCTGCAGTGGAAGACATCTCACAATGGCCATGAAAAATTAAAGGAAAAGGTAAAGCCCACAGGTGAAAGGCCCTGCAATAAAAGAGCAGTTACACACTGGGAAGAAGGGCTTGGATGCTGCTCCATAAGTCCCCATTATCTACTTGCCTATTTGCTCCAAACCCCTCCCAGATGCCCCCTGAAGCTAAATCTATTGTGAGGGAGGCTGTAGGATGTTGTGGTGGGGTTATAGTTCTACTTACATGTGACTTTTTTTTTTTTTTTTTACACATTGTGAAAGAACACAAAATCAGATGAAAACCAAAGAATGGCAAAAACCTGGCGGGGCCGCAGCACTACGGCGGTTTGGCCTGGCCTCTGCCCCCCTCCACACAGGCCAACGCCAAACTGGAGTGGTGCTGCGACCCTGTGCACCAGCTCACAACACCGGCGTGGGAGCAGGCCCGGGCCCTGCCAGGGGAGAGCGTGGGGTGGATTTATTCGCCAGCACCCCCCGGCCGGCCCTCCTCTCCTCCGTACCTGGAGCTTTGCTTTAATCCCCCCCGCGGGGGGTGGGGGCAGGACGCCCCCCAGCCTCTTACCCCGGGGCAGGACCTGACCCGACCCATCCCCACCCCCGGGGCAGGATCTGGCCCGACGTGGGCAGGTGGTAGCACGAAATAACACGAATTTCCCGAACAATACGACGGAGCAGTCCGAGCCCCACGGAGCTGCGCGGCTCTAGACGGGAGCCCCGGGATCGAGCGCCGGGCGGAGGCCGATCCGCCGACGCCCCCGCAGCACGAACGCTCCGTGGCCTGCAAGGGCCCGCGGCTAGAAGCCGGCCGCCGCCGCGCGCCACACCAGCAATTAACGGCTCCAGCCAGTCATCGTCACCGCGTCGCTTTGCCCCCGCCCCCGCCCCGCACGGGCGCGCGCGCGCGCTGAGAAGCGCCGAATGCTCGCGGGGACGCGCCGTTTCTATGGGGACCGGCATCCACGGCAGCGGCTGCCGTTTTGGACCCTCCACCAACTGCCAGCCGGGACCCCGCCATGTCCCGGCGGCGGTGCGCGAGCGCCGGGCTGAGCTGGCAGCAGGACCAGGCGCTGGGCAGCACCATGCGCATCGTGCGGGAGCTGGGCCCCACCGGCTTCGTGCTGCGGGAGGAGGGCGGGCCCGCGCACCGGGTACGGAGAGATGGGAGGGGGAGGGGGCGCAGGGGCGGGCTCGCTATAAGGCCCGCGGTGCCGCGCCAGCCCTGCCCGCCGCTGGGTGCTGAGTGACCCGCCGCCCCGCAGCGTCTGCCGGGGCGCCAGCCAAGGGGGCCGCGAGGTCCCTCCCGAGGCCCCCGCTCTGCTGCGCCGCGACCGACGCCGCTGTCCGTCTGTTTCCCCAGGTGCTCCTGGGGGAGCCCCACTCCTGCAGCTGCGCCACGTTCCTGAGGGAGAAGGAGCTGTGCAGCCACATCTGTTGGTAAAGGCGTTGTTCCTGGGGCATCTCCCCCCTCTCCACCCCGGCTGCGGGGGCAGTGCCAGCCCTTACTCCTGCCTTTCCTCCAGGGAAGATGAAGCACTGGTGGTACAGATCAGGTGTCAAAACAGGACTTGCTGAAACAAACCCCCTTACCTCTTAACTTCGTAGTACACATGAAAGAGCAGGGAAGGAACCCAAGAATGAGGGGGCTGAATTGCTACCAATCATGTGCAATTTTCTCATTAAAGTTACCTATTTTAAATGTAGAATGGAGGGTAGAAAATTTCATTATCTTTCTGAAAGAGAGTAGTGGGAGTGAAGTTACAGACCAGTGGTCTTACTTCAGATTCAGGTAAATTACAAACCCCTCGGTTAACATCAACTGCTGGGGACCTACTAGCTGTGCTTGCTGTAAAGGAAAAGTGGTTGCTTTCTAATTTATCAGTTTGCTCTAGCACCTCTTCTTTGATACCCTGATCTCTGAGAGGACTTCATCTTTATTACCAGGAGAAAGCAGGCCTAGGATAGATATCTGCCACCTTTACTGCAAGGACTTTACTTGCAACTTTAAGGCATTTTTGACTAACCATCTCATTTTATTTAACTCTCCCCTTCTAAAGTTTCTAGAGTATTATGTTTTGGTATCTTATTTCCTCATTCCACTCAGGGTGTTGTTACTATTTAATGGCTATTTCTACTTTTTTTGAATTAATGCTTGTGTATCACATAAGACTCAAACAACAAGTTTCTCCTCATGTTTGCTCTAGAATTAACTTTTCCAAAAAGCAATCCATTAAAGCATAAAATTGTTTCTCTAAATGTTATGCCAGTGTGCAATTTAACCAATTAGATGTAGTCAATTATGTATTTCCACTCTAAGAGAATTCTTTGACTGTGAAAACAAAATAGTGGATGAAAGAGAACAGGTGGATGTAATTTTCATTTGGATTTCAAAAGTGTCCCTCACAAGAGACTCTTAAAGAAACCAAATAGATCTGGGGTAGTAGCTAAAGTACTGTCATGGATTAGAAAATGGCAAAGAAATGGGGGGAAATAGCAAAAAATAATTGGTAGTTTTGAGCTTTCAAACAACCGGCAGGGGCACAGAGGACCCCAGTTTGGATAAGACCTCATTTGTAGCTTAGCACTATAAACTTTTGTTCTTACAGTTTTAGTCCTAATATTTTCTCTCTGAAGTATTTAAGATGGCTGTTGTCCTTGAAATGTAAATGTGATGGGTTCGGTCACAAAAACTTCCTTGGGACTGTCACTTGACGTGCTGGAATGACCTCTGAGCCCATTTTCTCTGCCAGCTTCGGTCTCCAGAACCCTGCCTTGTTGAGCCAGACTTGCTAGCCTGCTGCAACACAGACCAAGGTCTGGTCCACACCCCACAAAGCTACAGACTTTAACCAAAAAGTGCTCAGCAGGTCACTTATCTCCAGCACCCAGACATCCAGCTCCCAATGGGATCCAAACCCCAAATAAATCCGTTTTACTCTATATAAAGCTTATACAGGGTAAACTCATAAATTGTCCGCCCTCTATATCACTCATAGAGAGATATGCACAGCTGTTTGCTCCCCCAGGTATTAATCGCTTACTCTGGGTTCAATAATGAACAAAAGTGATTTTATTAAGAATAAAAAGTAGGATTTAAGTAGTTTCAAGTAATAACAGATGGAACAAAGTAAGTCACCAAGCAAAATAAAGCAAAAACACACAGTCTAAGCGTAATACATTAAGAAACTGTTTACAGTTAATGTAAAATCTCACCCGCAGAGATGTTCCAATGCGCTTCTTTCACAGATTAGACTCCTTCCCAGTCTGGGCCCAATCCTCTTCCCAAGTACAGTCTTTGTTAGTTGCAGCAGACATCTTTAGGTGGAAACTAGGGGTGTTCTAATGACTGGCCGCCCTCTTTGTTCTGTTCCACCCGCTTTTATAGCTTTGGCACAAGGCGGGAATCTTTTGTCTCTCTGGGTCCCCACCTCTCCTTCTAAAAGGAAAAGCAACAAATTTAAGATGGATTCCCGTATCAGGAGATAGGTTTCAGAGTAACAGCCGTGTTAGTCTGTCTTTGCAAAAAGAAAAGGAGTACTTGTGGCACCTTAGAGACTAACCAATTTATTTGAGCATGAGCTTTCGTGAGCTACAGCTCGCTTCATCGGATGCATACCGTGGAAACTGCAGTAGATATTATATACACACAGAGACCATGAAACAATACCCCCTCCCACCCCACTGTCCTGCTGGTAATAGCTTATCTAAAATGATCATCAAGTTGGGCCATTTCCAGCACAAATCCAGGTTTTCTCACCCTCCGCCCCCCCACACACAAACTCACTCTCCTGCTGGTAATAGCCCATCCAAAGTGACCACTCTCTTCACATCTGATGAAGTGAGCTGTAGCTCACGAAAGCTCATGCTCAAATAAATTGGTTAGTCTCTAAGGTGCCACAAGTACTCCTTTTCTTTTTGCGAATACAGACTAACACGGCTGTTCCTCTGAAACATCTCTTCACAATGTGTATGATAATCAAGGTGGGTCATTTCCAGCACAAATCCAGGTTCTCTCACTCCCTCACCCCCCTCCAAAAAACCACACACACAAACTCACTCTCCTGCTGGTAATAGCTTATCAAAAGTGACCACTCTCCCTACACACTCCCTACAATACGTTCACATGTCCTTCCTGTGGGACCCCAGCTTCCATTCTTTCAGGGCTGGCCCACACGTACCCAGGAAGGTTTGCAAGTAAACAGAGCCATTTACAACCAATTGTCCTAGTCAGTGGGAGCCATCAAGATTCTAAACCACCATTAATGGCCCACATTTTGCATAATTACAATAGGACCTCAGAGTTATACCTCATATTTCTAGTTTCAGATACAATAATGATACATGCATACAAATAGGATGAATACACTCAGATTATAAGCTTTGTAATGATACCTTACAAGAGACCTTTTGCCTAAAGCATATTCCAGTTACTCATAAGCATATTCACACTCATAAGCATATTTCCGTAAAACATTATGGAGTGCAACGTCACAGTAAAGTTGAAAGTAATAGCCAGTAGTTAGCTTTAGTTGACTTCCACAAGCTGATGGTTATTTTATTATCATTGTTAGGATATTGTTGAAAAAATTCAAAATTCCAAGAAACCATGAATGTAAGTATAATTATTTTTGCTTGCTTGTTTTATCTTGCATATAGAGTTTAAAGGCAAAGTTCTCTGGAGGTTGGATAAGCTCAGCTTTTAGATCAATGATTGTTTTCCCTTAACTAGCATACCAACATTTTTATGCTTTGGGGCATTTTCAGAATTCTGAAACATGATACCTTTTTCCTATCTGACAGGTTTCAGAGGAACAGCCGTGTTAGTCTGTATTCGCAAAAAGAAAAGGAGTACTTGTGGCACCTTAGAGACTAACCAATTTATTTGAGCATGAGCTTTCGTGAGCTACAGCTCACTTCATCAGATGCATACCGTGGAAACTGCAGCAGACTTTATATATACACAGAGAATATTCTCTATATATTATAATATATATTATATATAATATATAATATATATTCTCTGTGTATATATAAAGTCTGCTGCAGTTTCCACGGTATGCATCTGATGAAGTGAGCTGTAGCTCACGAAAGCTCATGCTCAAATAAATTGGTTAGTCTCTAAGGTGCCACAAGTACTCCTTTTCTTTTTCCTATCTGTAATACTGCTGCTAAAGGTACAACTGTAAAGTACTTAAAGAAAAATCTAGTCATTTGCAACACTTTCAGGGCCTTAGAGTAGAAGATCATGTGATTTAATAAAGCACTTATCCCACTCAGAGTATCCTAAAACATTTTCAGATCCAAGTACTTCATTGATTTGGCAAACATATAATCCATTTTGCACTTGGACAGATTCTGCACGGCACCTAGTACTACTCATTACAGTAAGTGAAACTCCCTTCTAGCCATGTTTGTGCCACACAGATTCTGGGGGTGATGGGTCTCCTGGAATAAATTAATAGCTGCAGTTTTGGGTTGCTTCTGATCATAGCTAATACATATACACCACCATATTTTGGTGCTGTTTCAGGAAACTTGACTTGAGTTGTACAGAAAAACCTTTGAACCAATTTTGCCATAAAGATCAGATTTAGATGTGAAGTTGTACAAAACTATCATTACAAATTGCAAATGAGAAATGAAGATTTACAACATTTCTGGCAGTAGAAGCACTGACAGAGTTATGATTTAGCCTGACAGTTATTATAGCTGAGTATTAGTAAATGTAAAATTTTTGCCAAAGAGCTTTAATCTGAGTTTTCTATAGATGCTTTTCAGCTGGGTCTTCTGGAAGGAGAGATCAATGACATGCTTCAGGGATTACAGCAAGAACAGACCCTCCCCCCAAGAGCAAACACTCTCTCCACCAAAACATTTCAGAAAGAGGATGATGGATACATTAATCAGAAAGAAATTGATGCAGAGGCTGTCTGTCCTATTTGCCAGGAAGAGCTACTAAAGAAAATGTTTCCCATCACTTACTGCAGGTTAGATATATAGTTTTTCTAGTTTGTTTTCATGGTGGAAACTCAGAAAATGTTTGTTATATTAGCTAGTGATAGCAAGTTTCTACACAATTAATGTTGCAGGGGTCCCATTGGAGGGCTGGTCTTGACATGTAAAAATCATAATTTTAAATAGTTAATTTTTACCGATGGCTTTTTTTTTTTATAAATGCTCTTTGAAACAAAGCAGTAGTAGTGCATGACTTTTGCATTGTAGCTGAAAAACTATTGTATTAATGATACTGGATTTTCTAAATGTTTATGGACAGGGTACAGTAATTGATGCCTGTTTCAGACCTTGTCTATTCTCTACAGTTTTGTCGACAAAAGTCAGCTTTCGTCGACAAAACAGTGGAAGTGTACACCCTGACATGCTCCTCCTGCTGATGTAACTCCCCTGCTATGCAGACATAATAAAAGCACCTCAACAAGAGGCGTAGGACTTATGTCAGTGTAGTTAAGATGCTGCAGTGTCTGTGTAGACACTGAGTTCCTTACATTGGCTGTCATTCTTGTCAATTTCATGAAATTGACAAGAAAGCTGGCTCCTGGCTCCCCAGCCAGACTGCTGCCCTGTCTCCACTCCAAGCTGGGTTGCTTCCTGGCTCCCTGTTCCTCGCTGGGAATTCTGCTGCCCCTTGGGGTCCTGGCTCCCCGCTCCCCACCAGGAGCATGGCAGCTGACCAGATTCTAGGCACGAATATCCCCATCAAAGCCGAGAAACCCCTGTTGTCTGCCCCTGTCCCGTCCCTGCTCCCAGCTGAGAGCATGGAAGCAAGAAGGACTCCCAGTGGGGAGCTTCGTGGAGCTGAGACCCCTGACTCTCAGTCCTCCACATTGCCCCTCTTCAGTTGGTGGAAGCACTTCTGCTGAGGACATGCACCACTGACAGAAGGAAGGTAGTGTGGACATCAGCCACTGCCGTAATTAATGTCGTGGCTGTAAGTTGACCTAAAATAGGTTGACTTAAGATTGTATAGACATAACCTTACTTTTTGTAGGTACAGCTGTGGAAACAACGTTCACATCACATGCATGAAGATTTGGGCTGATCACCAGGGTGAATTGGAGAGTGACTCTGTGGTGAAGTGTCCCCTCTGTAGAGAAGAATTTGCACCATTAAAGCTCATTTTAGAAGAATTCAGAAACTCCACTCAGCTTGTGACTGCAGCAGAGAAAGAGAGACTTGACAAACACCTTGGACTCCCCTGTAATAACTGCAGAGCATTTCCAGTTGAGGGAAAATGCTACAAGTATGTACTTTTAAAACACTTCTAGTTTAACGTACAATTCCTTGTAACAACCTATACTTCACTACTTATTCCCCTTTGTCTTTATTATAACCAAACAATGTTTCTCTGTGAGTTAGATGACTTTGGTTCAAGTCTGATTATACACTCAACCCCTTGGTGCTGATTTCTGGTCAATTTACATTACAGTGATCAGTGTAACAGACTCCTAATGGGATCTTTAGCTCAATGATGTATGAGGTTGAGTCAGCACCTCAGAATTCCTTAGTGTAATGCATTTCATCTGAAGACTTATGGCTATATCCACTGAAACACACAAATAACTTTACTCACACAAGATGTTGCATTGCCAGTGATGAGAGTAAAATTATTTGTGTTTGCAGTGGTGTTGTAGATGTGTTTGTGCCAAGATATTAGAGAGACAAGGTGGGTGAGGACACACAGGGTTCCGGAAGGTGCAGTCCAGGGAGGGGTTGTCATCTCTTACCCTTTAACCCACAATGCCTTGCCACTGTAGATCCCAGTTTGGGATGTTCACAGCCAGCAACAAGCATGCAGGTCAAGTGTCTGTGCACTACACAGCCAGCCCTGGTTGAGGAACTCAGCAGCCTGTTGACGGCCCCTCTCTGGCTTCCACAAGTCTTGGTTAAGACCAAGGTGACCCCAATACATGCCCAGTCCCAAATTTTCCTCAAACCATGAACTCTGCAATGTCTAGCCCTCTCCTGGACAGTTCAGAGAAATAATAAGGTTTGTTTGTTCCTTTAAAGAAACAAAAGCACATCACAGCTTGTTTACTGGGGTAAATACACCATTCCCTGCAAACACATCACTAAGTTGGTTTATAATAAATTGATTTTATTTTTTAATAATAGGACAAAGGTTAAATGACACCAAGTAAAAGGAATAAAGTCAGAAAGGGTTAGGCCTGGTCTACACTACAGAGTTAGGTCAACGTAAGGCAGCTTATATCAACCTAACTTTATAAGGATCTACACTACAATGTTCCTCCTGCCAATTTAACTCGCCTGCTGTGGCAATGTACTAACACCACGTCTGCAAGAGGCGTAGAGATTAGATCAATGTAGTTAGGTCAACACACTGTCCATGTAAGACACTGCATTGCTTACATTGCCTGTTGCTGCCTTTGACAGCCCAAGCCCCACCACCCCACCTAGGACAGACGGCCAGGGCTCTCAGTGCCGGGGCTCTGGCTTTCAGTGCCCCACAATGCCCCACTTTAGTCCGTGCAAGCACTCCTGGTGAGGACACACACTGCCTACAGAAGGGCAGAGTGTGGACATCAAGAGCCAATTTAATTACTACAGTGGCTGTAGGTCGACCTAACTTAAGTCGACTTAATTTTATAGCATAGACATGCCCTTAAAAGAAAAAAAAATCTGAAAACACATCTAAAACTTTAATCTAGCTAGGTACAGGCTTTGTTCAAGACAGTTGTCTCTCACCAGTATTCTTCTCAGTTATGACTGACTTTTTCCTCAGTCTGGACCTTTCACAGAAGTACAAGATGCTGTCTACCCTTGTCTTCCTAGGTGAAGGATCTTTGCCTAAGCCCATTTCTCACCTATTTTCAGTTTCCAGAGACTTCAACCCCTCCTTGGTTGAAGGACTCATCTTTCTCATCTTGAAAAAGCACTGGCCCCTTGTCTGTCTAGTGATGGATGCTCTGTGTAGCTCCACAGCTTGTCTGTTTCACCAACAGAAATTGATCCACTAAAAGATTTGCTGGACAGCTTGCCTGTCTCAAATTATTCATGTAATTGTTTGCCAAATCAGGGTCATTGTGCTGACTAGTTGCTTTTTCCTTTAGATCAGCTGTACTGAGAATTGCATCAAGGTCAAATGTACCAAAGCTATGTTGAACCATTTGTGTTTTAAATGAAATACTGTTCCGCTAGAATCTTCTTTTCAATAAATATAGACAGCCATCAAGTTATTTATTTTAAAAAGTGATTGTTCAACCCAAAATCACCTTTGGAAAATATTTTGCCCATCCTCCCATGCAGCATGTGGCCACAAGGTTTGCTTTTTCCCTCCCCCCTTGCCCTTCTTACTGAGAAGAGCATCCTCCAGGATTCCTTCATCTTGAATTACTTCTTGAACAGTAAAAAGAAAAGGAGTACTTGTGGCACCTTAAAGACTAACCAGTTTATTTGAGCATCCGATGAAGTGAGCTGTAGCTCACGAAAGTTTATGCTCAAATAAATTGGTTAGTCTCTACAGTGCCACAAGTACTTCTTTTCTTTTTGCGAATACAGACTAACATGGCTGCTACTCTGAAACCTTCTTGAACAGTGTGCATGTGCCACTTCATCATGAGCTTTAGTATACTTAGGAGAAAAATACAGAAATGTTGCTGTACAGCAAGCTGAAGGAATGTATATGGGTTTTCTCCTTCAAGTATAGAATCCACCAATGGTTTTTTCTTTAGCAGACCCCTAAAACACTTTGAATGGAGGTACAGGACCCCTTTGGAAAGTTAAGACATAGTTCACGGACACCCAGGGGTCTGCAGACCACAGGTTGAAAACCACTGTTGTGTTGTAATGACAACTTTTCGCTGACCCCATTGAATTAGTCTGTGGACCCCCACAACACTGGCATACACTATTCACTTTTGTATAAAATTCAGCCAGAAAGAAAGCAACAGGTTTTATTTTCTAAAAACTTTCACTGGTGAAATGGGCTTGAGTTTGGATAATTTTATACTGTAATATGGGACTTCCTGATACTAAATAGTAGAATTTTCTACAAAGGTTTTTCATACATTAATAAGTTCTCCTAAACTTAACATTCCACTCCAACTACCTTATATTTTTGTTTTTTAGGTGCACTGAGTGTAGTGAATATCACCTATGCCATGAATGCTTCACTAGCGTTTGCCATCCTCCACATGTTTTCACCTTTCGACAGGTACAGAACTATATTTTATTGCATCATATCCAAAGCTCTCTAATGGTCAGACATAGAAAACATTTTATGTGGGAATGTAAAGCTGATCTTGTTTTTTAAAAATAAAAACCACTGTTACAATGACTGGGATTACTTGTGATGGACTGTAGACCACTATGAAATACTTAAATAGTGAGGAAGGAGTAGAACCATAAACTGAAATGATACTTCAAAATAGGCTCAATTGTGGGGGTGAGGAAGACAACATGACAGCTGCCTCTGTACTATTTGTCTTCTGTCTTGCTCTGGACCTTTCAAATTACTCTGCAGAACCTGGGAACAGACAGATAATGGGTCATTTCGGGGCTGGGGGACTGAATGCCGTCATCCCCTCTCCTGGCCCTCATATCCAGTGGTATTTTCTATAAAAAAAAATACAGAACCATACTGTATTAACTTCTTGGAGCCCCACTCCATGGTAGGATCACCCTTTTAAAAATGCTCAGGACAGCCACTAGCTGGAGGAGCCCAGTCAGCATAGCTATATTGGAACCATAGTGTCAGGGGAGTGCTGGGAGCACAGACCTAGATCTAAGGCATGCGGGTTATCACTGTCATCTAGCTTGGCCTTCCACTGTGCCCTACCCCAGGATCTAAAAGTCTTGGGCCGTGATCTAGCCTATTATCAGTTGGTGCATTTCCATAGTTAACTAATTTTTACATCATTAACTCACTGTGTAGAGTCAAGGCACAAACCATGTGAATGAGGATTGCCATAGGTTCAATGACAGGTTCAAGTGTATACATTTGATTTTTCTGCAGCTTTGCTTCTAAAGACCCAGAAATATTAACTCTTCAAGTTTACCATCCATAAGGATAAGTTTGTTTGGGTTTTTTTGTTTGTTAGACATAAGGGCCAAGATTGTCCTCACTGTTGTGAAAGACAGCACAGCACTTCAGAGCTTTTGCAAAACCTCATACAACAAGAGTGTCTTTTAAAATACAGGGACTTCAGTCAGAATGGCGATTCATCTGTTTTTGTTGCTACAGAAAAAATTTGTTAAATTGTTCATGGTTTTGTAAATCATGAAAAGAGAAACTCATATTTTGGCTACTGAAAATTGGAGGTCTTTTTCTCAATTACTTATTGCACCATATTCTGTGATCTTTCATTAGCTCTTTCTGTATTCAACAGAAGAGAAATCAGAGGTGGAGGTCACTTGACCAAGTTTCACAATTGTCAACTCCAGGAGGAAATTTAAAAAGCATTAATCCAGGCAGTAATTCTAAAGAAAAGATGTTACATCTTCAGGAGAAGTAAGATAAAAAAAATTTCATACTATTTAATGTAATCAATTTCAACATTCTTTAAAAACAATTTTTTTTCCAATTCATTAATATTTACTTTTGTTTATAGAAATGATCCTGTAAAGGGTAACAGGAAATGCTTTAGAGAAACCAGATGTGTATTAACTTTGTATCTTCTTAATCTTGTTAAAATAAAATTTTAAATGCACCTTGCAAGTGAGTGCGGTTCTTCTCACCTGTGTTTAGAGACTAATGGCTTGAGCCTTGGAAAAACATTTGAAACCGTCACATTATGAACTAACCTTTGAATAGCTGTAACAAAATCTTCCAGCAAAAAGCAAAAGCTATGCATTTAAAAAATTTAATGTGTTTGTGGAATTTCTGAATGGAAAGAGAAAGTACCAGCAATATCATAAGAAAACCTTATGAAAATAGGCTTACCAGCCGGGTTTGCAGATGAAAAAGATTTGGATAAATATGAGTTGAATTGATGTGCTTATTGAAATCAAACTCTTTGCAGTTCATTGATAACTAAGAGCTAGCATTGTACCTCTTTGTACTAGAACAGAATACTGCTGTAGTGCACTGTCTGCAACAGGATCCATACATGTAAACAAAATCTGTGTACACCTCACAGAAAGTCTTAGTGAGGAAGTATAGCCTTGTGGTTAAGACACTAGCCTGGGCCTCAGAACATAAGGATTAATTTCCGGGCTCAGCACAAGCTCCCTATGTGACCTTGAGCAACTCACTTGACCCCTTTTGTGCCTTGGTTCTCCCAGAAATAAAAAGGAGATTATAATATTTCAACCAAAAGTTATAGGCTTGATGCAAGAATTACTTGAGTGAAATTCTCTCACCTGTATAACACAGAAGGTCAGACTAGATTATCATAATGGCCTCTTTTCTGCGGAGAGTAAGGGTCCACTGATGATGGTTTTCTAGCAAGATCAGGGCCTCAGTAATAGTGGTCAAACACATTAATCTATTGAACCATCAGCCTGTAAAGTGATAGTCCCATCACCAAAACTAGCCTGCCATTTTGAAAGTTTCAGTTTCTATTGCTATTTTCCTACTATGTACTAAAAACATGTTCTGTATTTTCTGTTTAGATCCAGTTGCATCCCAAAGCACATTGTAAAATCTTTACCTGTGATGTGGATTAGAAAACATAGCAACTTTCTTGCTCCAGGTCTCCAATGTAGGCTCTGCTTGAAGATCTTTTGCCTTGGTCAGTGTGCAAGACTCTTGCCATGTAATCACAAGGTAGAGAAAACTAAAGGCTCTAAATTTTACTGAACCCAAAACCCAATGTTCATTCCAAAATCTCACTGTTAGCCTGTGTGTTCATGCTTGTGGTTCAGCTCTTTAACATAGTCTAGACACTTATTATTCTCTTCTGCAAAGTTGATGAAAATGTAAGCATTGGAGGGAATATGTGAAGTATTCTGTATGCAGGGTTGTTGTAGTCGTGTCAGTCCCAGGATATTCGAGACAAGGTGGGTGAGGTAATCTTTTATTCTTCAACTTCTGTTGGTGAGAGAGAAGCTTTCGTGCCTACACAGAGCTTTTCTTCATCTCTGGGAAAGCTTACTCAAGCTATGTCTCCACTACAGCTTATGTCGGCATAAAAACGTCACTCAGGGGTATGAATAAGTTCTCTCCCATCAGCTTAGAGCATCTGCACTAGCAGCGTTACAGCAGCCCAGCTGCATCGGTGCAGGTGCGCTGCTGTCAGCTCTGTAGTGTAGCCGTAGCCTCAGTGTCACAACTATATACAGGATGGAACAGATCGTTTAATATAAGTAATTAATATATTTCAAGGAAACATTCAGGGTGAAGTGGGCCGTAACACCTTTCCAGTCATAGGGAGGAAAGGAAGGGGGGGAACAGCTGCGGGGGGAAGAGTCAGTGGGCTATAGATTGTTGTAATAAACCATAAATTACAACAGTTACGCCCAGCCTTATAGTCAGAAGCAATCTCCCCACAGACCAGGACACACCAACTCAAAGGGGCACCACACCCTTCCAGAACAGATGCAAAACCTGCAGACATATCTCCACTGCTACAATGATTAACACCCCCCACAACACACCTTTCACGATCCATGGGTTCTACACATGTCTATCACAACATGTAGTGTATCTCATCCAGTGCACTAAATGCCTCTATAGCTACTATGTGGGTGAAACCAGACAATCACTACACTTTCAAATGAACTTGCACAGGAAAATGATAAAAGACAAAACTACCACGTCCCCTACGGGTGAACACTTTTCACAAAGCGATCACTCTAAATCTGACCTCTTTGTCCTCTTCCTCAAAGGAAACCTGTACAACACTTTCAAAAGACGAGCCTGGGAGCTTCAATTCATAAATCTTTGCTAGACACTAAAAATCATGGACTGAATAGAAATACTGGATTTATGACTTATTACAAGAATATATAACCTACTAACAACTTCCTCCCAGTAGTTCTCTCCTTCCTTTCCATGCTATGACTGGAGGGGTGCTAATCGCCCACTTCACCTTGAATGGTCCCTTGAAATACGTGTTAACTACTTATGTTAAACAATATGTTCCGTCTTGTATTTAGCTGTGACACTGAGGCCAGGACTACATTACGCACTTACTTTGGAATAACTGTGTCGCTCAGGGCTGTGAAAAATCCACCCCCCTGAGCGACGTAGTTATACCAACATTAACTCCCCCATCCCCTGTGTAGACAGTGCTGTGTTAGTGGGAGAGCTTCTCTCGCCGACATAGCTACCGCTTCTCATGGAGGTGGAGTTATTAAGCTGACGGGAGAGCACTGTCCCACCAGCTTAAAGCATCTTCACCAGAAGTGCTACAGCAGGGCAGTTGCACTGATACAAGTTTGTAGTGTAGACCTAACCTGAGTACATTTCCAAGACCTGAAGAAGAGTCCTGTGTAAGCTCAAAAGCTTGTTTCTCTCACCAATAGCAGTTGATCAAATAAAAGATATTACCTCACCGACCTTGTCTTTCTAATATCTTGGGACCGACACAGCTACAACACAGCAACCCAAGTTAAAAAGCAGAATTGACAGGTCTTCACTGCTATTTCAACCCAAGTTAGGATTTTTTTTTTTTCCTGCAGTGAAGACATACCCCGTGAGCAAATTCCTTTTCTCCTTTGGAGGGAGGAACATCTCTGACCTGTGCTCTGAGGGGTTTCCTGAAATGGAACCTATAGTATTTCCTGACTTTGGAGTGCTTAGCTTTGCAACCTTAGAGTTCTCTCAATATACATTTGTAGAAAGGAGCTTCACTCCTCTGAACTCAGATGTCTTGCAACAAATTGTCAAACATTTTTGTAAATGCCATGGTTTGGGACTACCTATCTGATTAGACCACTCTAATACCCTACCGCGTGCATTATAAGTAGGCTGCAGGAGAAGTCCCTTCCCTTCTCCAGCACACCTTAGGAAGCCCATAGAAGACATCCTTTTTCGGATTTGCATAACTGCTGGGGATCTTCTAGTTTACAAACATGATGAACTATTTTTACAGCAATTCACACCATCCTGTAAAAAGAAAAGCCAGTGTTGCCTGAAAGTACACAAACAAATATTAATCTAAACATCTATAGTTAGTATCTTTTATAGATTTCTAGAAAGAGTGCAAGTGAAGTGCCAGGAGAATTAGGCTAAAAGAAAAATACTGAAGTCAACATTGAATCTGTAGATCAGTGAGCATAGGTGCAACTATTTTCTTCAAGGGAGGTAATTAAAATGTATTTGAAATCTGAAGCACATCAATAAATGTATTGATTTACAGCAGCCAATCCAAGTTGATGTAAGGCATTTTCCATAGTAAACTAGAGTTGGGACTTTTTACATGAAAGGAATATGCCAATTATACACTAATGTAGCTCCAGTGAAGGTACTTCTGGTTTATAATGGTAAGAGAGAAGAATCTGACTCCTTAGAATATCCTTTCTGCATGCAAGAATAATTACTTCTGTAGTATTCTTCCAAGTTGGATTAATTATTATTATTATATTGTTGATAATTATCAGGACACAGCTCCATGTATCTTAACTGACTCTCTTTTTTAAGTTCCACAGAGAATGTATTGACAACTGGTTATTGCACCAAAAAAATGCATGTCCTATTGATGGATATATTGTGTATAATCCATTAACCTGGAAGGATATATCAGCCATTCGTAATGTCAGTCAGCCAGGATCTCAAACAAATACTACCAAACTTGTAAAGCAGATGGAACCAGAGCTTTTCATACCTGGAATTGGATTGTTCTTCAAGCAAACACTGTTAGGCCATACACTTGAAAAATCTCAAGATAGCCTCCAGAGACTTCATAACAATAAAGATCCACCACATTCTCAACAGGGTTTAACTTTAAATGGTTTAAGCTACTTTCATTTAGGAGATTCTGATTCTAGTCAGCACAACATTGATAGAAATTTAAGTCTACAATTTTCCAGGCATGGTAAGGATTTAGCTCATAAGCCTTTCCAGAAAATACTCTCTCAAAAATCCTATTCTGTTACATCTAGTAAAGATGCAATTTCTAATGGTACGAGAGGCTTAAATGGAACTTGTACCAATAAAGAGAAAGGAGCAAAAGTGTACCACGCTGACCATGCTAACCCAAACAAAGTAGTTGCTTTTGAAGACAGGAATAACCATGAAATTTCAGCATGTGTAAGATTTCCTGGGAAATTGAACTTTGAGGATAATTTGGGGAGTACAATTGGCTTTATGTTTCCAAAAAGGGACAATAAGTGTGTGGGAAAAGCCAGACAGCAAAAAAGGCTTCTAGCAAGACCACCTAAGCATAAGCCTCTGAGTCTTAAAACTTCAGAAGTAGCTTTATTAATGGAAGGAATTCCACTGAACAACAAGTCATAATATAAAGAATGTATGAAATATTTAGAAAACAGCTATATTTTTATAGTTTTAAACTCATGCTTTTTGTCTGAGTTTTTATTTTCCATTAGTGTATTCCCAAGAGGCTGTTTCTACCAAGTTTAAAGGTCCTTTACACCACTGGACTGGCTTAATGGAGTCCGAGAATCAGCTCTAATAACTAAGCGGAGGTGAATAAAGTTAAGCTGAAAGCTGAAATATTTATTGCAAAAACACTAATAATTTTAAAAAAAACTTACAGCTCTTAGTTGGCTAGTCAAAGATATAATAGAATTTCTGAGAGAACAGGAAAGACTTACACGTTACAATATTGAAATAAAATATTCAAATTTTAACTGAGACTACAAAGTGGGCTTCAGAGTACTGTAAAGTAAGCAGATTTGACATACACATCTCACACTAAATATAGGAATCCACAATGCTATTTTTAGTTGCTTTTCAGAGTAGAATCACACCATTAAAGAACAATCAAAGTTTGATGCACCATTTTTTAACCTCCAATTAACTTCTTCCAAAAAAAGGGGAACTTAATATGTTTGAGAGGCTGCAGGGGGCCAAATATCAGGGTCTTTAATTTATCTGAAATTAATTGGAGCAAGTAGTTTATCTAGTTATATCAAATTATGTCCAACTAGTATTTACATATTGCTGAAATACTAAGACTGACCCTGTCATTTTCAATAAAAAAAGATTTAACACAAAGAACCTATTTATAATATTGAATTATATTAAAGCCATTCTTTCTCTGCTGACATTCTAACTCTTTTCCTATACATTTCCATTGATGTAAAAACAATATAGAAGACATATTATGGTTAAATGACAACTCATTTTCTAAAAGTTGGTGGGCTGCTATCTGACATCGGACAAGGAGCTCTTGGGTAATTTAACAAAAATTGCATTCATTTTCAGAGTACAGACCAAAGGAAAAGAGTCTGTCATCTGAGGAGTAAATTTTTAAGATAATACATAGGAATTTAGCCACACAACTCCCATTAACCTTAGTGTATGTCTGCATCCCTGTGTATTGTACTGTCACAGGGCAGGTACATCCTGTCAGGGTACTGGGTCACATATGGACAGAAGAAAGGGAAAGGCTGTATAGCAGTCAGTTAGGTCCCACATTAGTGACCCTGACTGTAAACTGGGGTAGTAGGGCCTAGTGGCCGGAGTCAATAAAGCAGCCCTCCCACTCAGGGCAGCGTGGTCTAATAGCCCAAGTCAAGAGCGTAGCCCTTCTACTTAGGGCAGTATGGCCAAATAGCCCAAGTCAATAGCACGGGCCTCCTGCTCAGGACAGCATAGCCTAATAACCAGAGTCAATAACGCAGTCCTTCTACTCAGGACAGAGTAGCTTAAGGGCCAGAGTCAATAAATGTGTCCACTTCTGGGGTACCCTGTGGCTTACTGGCTTGTTGGGGAAGTGGGGTGCCACCTAGGGTTATGTGGCGCCCAGGGTAGGGGGACTTGGGCCCTCCCTGCTCCTCTACGTCCCAGCCCATGGCTCTGGCAGTGATCGGAGTGCTCACCACCAAGTCAGCGGGGATCCTCCCAAAGCATGCTGGCCAGTTCCCTGGTTCACTCACGGGAGCAAAGTCTAAGTCCCCGGGCCGCTTCCTACCCTTTCTCCCTCAGCGATACTCCATGGTTCCCTTGGGTCTCTGGGGTCCTCCAGCTGTGTAGCTCCTGCTCGTGTGTCCTGTTCTCTGGGTTTGTCAGGCAGCCTGGAGTCCATCTGGAGCTGTGTGTGTCTTGAGTCTGTAATCGAGGCCTGTAGCAACTCCCTGAAGAGATCCTGCATTCTGTGTCATCCCACTTCAGCAGCCTGCCCAGACTGAGGTGGGCCGCTTCCTTTTATACTCTGCCTCCAAGCTGAGCATGTGCAGCAGGGTCTGAGGGATGGGGCTTCCTCAGCCTGCAAAGCACAGTTAACCCTTTGGGGGCTGGTGCAGGGTAGGTACACCCCATCACATGTACCAATAAGTTAATCAATTACTAATACACTAAACAGAAAAACTTCAAGTATTAAAATGTAGATATTTGTGATAGCAAACCACACATTTTTTTATGATTTGGTACTGATAAACTGAGAAATGGGAGGTGATTTTATGAAACTTACTCAAATAATTTGACATCTGTCTTTTCCCAGCCATCTTTCATTGCTTTGGTCTTTAAATCAGATGCTGTAGATTTTGGTAGTGCTTGCAAACTCTCTAGTTGCAATATTTTATTGCTATCTTCCATCCAGTTGCTTCAGATTATATTTAATGAGATCCATCAAGTATGCTATGATGTAGTGTCTCTGTTTTAATATTTTTGTTGTATTTTTTTTAAAGTACAACAATCTACCATAGAACTCAACACAGCCTTTAATTTTGCAAGTATTTTTTTGCAGATACAAATCAGGTGGGGACCCATCAGATGTAACTTTGAGAAAATGTGGCCCTCTTTACTCATAGAAGTGGAAATAATCTATTAAAAGTCTATGATTTCCAGTAAAAAGAAAAGTAGTTCTTCTAATTTATAGCATATGTCTAATGAGATTACAGTGGTAATGGGATGCATTTTGTTGAATTATTGAAAACATACTGGATATGAAACTATCAGTCAGGTGAGCGGCACATAAAGTCATTACGTACAACCAGGGAACTTCCCAATATTTAATAGGTCAGAATTTAAGAATATTTAAGCAACTAATGAGTGAACTCTACTTAATTCACTAACAGTCTGAAGTCTTGTGTTAGAGGGAGCAGTCTTGAATGTATATGGTTTCCTCTCTTGATAAGAGAATACCAGAAAAATGGGTACCACTGAAAAGAAGAAGCAAACACACTCACTGAATACAGCTGAAGATTTGAGTGACTCCTGAGTGACAATTCAGGACACTTTTTAAAAGTGCATTTATAAAGTGGAGGGGAGAACAGAAAAAAGAAACAAAAAAGTAAAGAAATGAAGGGAGGGAAAGAAAAGGAAGAGGGAAGAAAAGAGACTGACATCTGGTTCCATCCACTAAGAATTAATCAAATATTTTTTTTACAAAATAGACTAAAATCTTTTAAAGTTTGTCTAAGGTCCCTCTTCTCCAAAATGTTACCTGCTCATCTGCAGCTTAAAGGACATATTTGGTCCAGATGCACTGGGAGCACCAGAGACTCCAAAATTGTTGTTTAGGTGGAGAAAGCTCCATAGGTTCACCCGACTAGCTTAACCTGTTAACGATTTCCTGAGAGAGGGTTTGAGAGATGAGCGTCCAGTGCTGGGCACCAGTTGGTACAAAAGCAGGACAAGAAGTCAGCATGGTGCTGTTGTGTAACAATGTCTTGCTGGAGTTGTGAAGATAGAATTACCTGTGCATAGCTTTGTTGTGGCTTTTGCCGACTCTGTTCAAGATGAACTGGACAGGAGGTCTCTTATCTGTAATCAGTATTGGGGCCTCATTATGCTGCATGGTGTACAAACGAGTAGCACAGGGGTTCTCAAACTGGGGGTCAGGACCCCTCAGGGGGTCACAAGGTTATTACATGGGGGGTCGCGAGCTGTCAGCTCCACCCTAAACCCCGCTTTGCATCCAGCATTTATAATGGTGTTAACTATATTAACAAGTGTTTTTAATTTATAAGGGGGGGCTACATTCAGAGGCTAGCTATGTGAAAGGGGTCATGAGTACAAAAGTTTGAGAACTACCTGTGTAGCAAGATAGTCCCTGCAATCAAGAGCCAATATAAGAAAATACTTTTCAGTAGGTTTAACAATTGCAGTGAATATGGGGCAGAGTGGAAAAGAAACCACATATGAATGAAATAGATTAGGAAGGATACCCTGAGCTTCTGGGTAATATTACATGACCTCAAGAAAATCAACATACTTAAGTAATAATTTCAGTTCTGCCTTTGGCTGCTCAGGAGCCAGGGAGTGGGACCAATACATTTGATATAATTGTGGGTACGAAATCTTTGCACCTTTGAAGAAAACAGAAAAGATGAGTATGAGGTATCCTATCCAAGAAAGAGCACCAGTCAGTCACATGATATAACACTGTATAAAGAGATATTTTCCCTTCCTAAAACCGATCTTTGCAGCCATATGGCATTTAGAAACAAATTCAAATACCTCTATCCAAAGTTACACAAACGTCATCAAGTCCTAAACAGCATTTAAGATCAGAATTTCACAGCAGTAATCTGAATTTATATAAAATGATGGTAATCAATACAGTACCTTTGGGAAGCTGTTGCTTGACTAAAGTGTACCACAAAAAACTCAATTCTCACCAAATTGCTAATTTTGCTCCCCTTCTCTGGTCCTCTTTATTCTTTTCCTAGTTTTATGCAATTTAAACTTAATTTATATAATGACACACATGACAAAATATCTCTAGGATTAGGACCTGAAGCCATTCCAGTGGTATCAGCCAATATCCTGACATTTAGTTAGTTACTGCTGAGTACAACAAACTAACATAGCTAATTTGATTTAAAGCACATTCTCTACAAATCTGGTTAGGTAAATCAATCCTGCAAAAGACAGCACCCCTTCATTTGAATCCCAAAGCAGCTGCATAACTAAAAACCAATTTCTCACCTGTTAATTGTGTGTGTGTGAGAGAGAACACACTGGTACAGATAAACTGAGTGTTTTCCTTTCCTCTGGACATTGGATAGGTGGTATCCCATCAGAATACAGAAGGTTTTTTTTACTTTGCTGTACATAGGTAAACTCCTCAGTTGATGACTTCCAAAGGTGCAAAATATGGATTGTTGACCCTATCGTCCTAATTCAAGTTACTCATACCAGGCCTCGTATCTAATGAGACATTTGGGTGAGTGTCTGTTACTGGTCAGACCACAAAAAACAAGAAATTTGTTTTCCTTGTGGTGTAATTGCCAAAGGTTTGTGTGCGTCATAAATATAAAGGGAAGGGTAAACACCTTTAAATCTCTCCTGGCCAGAGGAAAAGCCCTTTCACCTGTAAAGGATTAAGAAGCTAAGATAACCGCGCTGGCACCTGACCAAAATGACCAATGAGGAGATAAGATACTTTCAAAGCTGGAGGTGCAGGGGGGGACAAAGGGTTCTCTCTGTCTGTGTGTTGCTTTTGCTGGGACTAGAGCAGGAATGCAGGTCAGAACTCCTGTAAAAGGTTAATAAGCAATCTAGTTAGATATGCATTAGATTCTGTTTTGTTTAAATGGCTGACAAAATAAGTTGTGCTGGATGGAATGTATATTCCTGTTTTTTGTGTCTTTTTGTAACTTAAGGTTTTGCCTAGAGGGATTCTCTATGTTTTGAACCTGATTACCCTGTAAGGTATTTACCATCCTGATTTTACAGAGGTGATTCTTTTACTTTTTCTTTACTTAAAATTCTTCTTTTAAGAACCTGATTGCTTTTTCATTGTTCTTAAGATCCAAGGATTTGGGTCTGTGCTCCCCTATGCAAATTGGTGAGGATTTTTATCAAGCCTTCCCCAGGATAGCGGGTGTAGGGTTTGGGAGGATTTTTGGGGGGGAAAGACGTTTTAACCGAAGCTGGTAAGATTAAGCTTAGGGGGTTTTTCATGCAAGTCCCCACATGTGTACCCTAGAGTTCAGAGTGGGGAAGGAACCTCGACAATGTGGATAGGTCTGACACACTAGTTATTTGTCCAAGGAACCAGGAACCAACAGCAGGGTCATTGAGGTCATAGGGGCTGCTCAAGCTGTTGAAATAGAAGTGTATT